GCTATTTAAAATAAATGAGTCATTTCAAGTCAGTTGTCGTTAAAGTCTGTTTCCTGTGATCAGTCTCAATGTGTTTTATCAATCCACTGTCTTTAGTTGGTTAATGTTCCTGTGACAGTTCCTTAAAAGAGCATGCACTCTCTATGAGTGTATGTAGCAGTCCGGGTGACCAGCACCACCCTACCACCACAAGGAATAGTTGATGGATCTCTTCTTCCAGATAGGATCACGTTGGGAGGCTTGCCTTCAATTCTAAAGGATCTCCATAGGTTGTTCTCACTCTGCCCACAAGACCTGACCTGTTTTTTTATTAAACAGGAATTTAAGATTTGTTTGATCTATCTGATGCACAACAATCATACTAAAGCATAACACTAATCATAACATTAAAGTAAACATTCTGTATAACACTTAATAATAATGTGCATGCCTTGCATTACACTCTAGTTCAATGAGTTCAAGTCCAAATATCAATACATGAATCATAACCAGCATACATCAAACTACTACTAACTATAATACTGATAAATCATGACCTTTTAACATAGCCATTATGACAAAAGCATTTAGTATCACCTTGATCCAGTATTAGGAACAATTTTAACACAAATACTCTGTAGTGTCCTCTTTCCTGTGAGCATACAAATAACACTATATCACTATCATTTACAATAATATGTGTAATATTGACCTCTTCAAGAGGATAGTACAATAATGATGAACAACAATATTATTATTTTAACATTTTCCTGTTGACATGCAGTACTGGGCAGTGGACACTGCCTTTATAACATGAAACATATATAACTAGAAAATAAAAAAGCTGCTCTAGTATCAAGCTATTCCAAGACTTACTGTTTTAATTCACTGCCTGTACTCAACAACCATGCACATATCCCTAGCATCTCTACCATAGGCAATACACACAGCACAATGCACAGCACATGCACACAACTTGCTACATTAACTTCAGACTATTAGCTTACCGAGATCAATGGAAAAACCGGGACCTTCCGGGTTTCCTTCTGTTTCTTAGTTAGCTGTACACAAAGCTTTACTAACTTTATTAAACTTGATTGGTTTTAATTACACTTCTCTGCTGTGAGCGCTCCCACATGACCACCTCTCTCTCACAGACACCGCTGATCATGTGATCTGTCAATCATGTGATCTGTCAATCATGTTGAGTTGGAGGCGGGACATGACCAACTATCACCTCTGAGTGGCTGATCTCTCACTACCTGTTGAAGAATAATCCTTGCTGGATATTTGAACCCTTTATTGTCACTGGGTTACACTACTTTAACCGGAATTGCAGATTTACTGACTTTACTACAGCAGAACCTTTGCATTTCTAAAATCCTGAAATCAGCCTTTTGTGCGAATCCTGAAGTCAATCTCTAGGTAGTGCAATGCCCTTTCTTATGCTAAGAAAGAAAAACCAAGTACATCAAATGAAATTGGAAAAAGGAAGCAGGAAGTACGCTCCCTGGAGAAGCCTGGGGGGACATTTGCAGCTCTCAATGATCTTCTGCTAATTCTTCGATGTGGAGGCCCCACTGTTAGAGCAAGATGAGGTTCCTTAAAACTCTGCAGCAGGAAATATAGTAAGACACATTTGATGTGCTGGAGACAGTGCTCCTCAAGGGAAGGGAACTATTTCCATTTATTCTAGGACTGTCCCAAACTCAGGCCGCCCCTGAACTGGGATTCATAAAACATTTTGCAAGACGACCACTCAAAGAGCTTTACAGTACAGTTTTGAAATCTCACACACATTCATAGAGTGCTTCTATGTGTAGCTCTGTTCTCTGTGGGAAAGGGCCTTTAGGGCATTCGGAACGGGGAAGACTGGGATCGAGCCGCCGACCTGCTGGTTAGAGGACAACAACTCTAACCCCTGAGCCCCTATACTTATGCCACATTGTATGTTTAAAACCAAGGGAGGATACAAAGCTGCTGAAGGTCCTTTTTGAGGCAAGTAAAAACAACAACCTACATTGGAAGATTGACTCATAATTATTCCAGAAATATTGAAAATGAAGAGGTTAACATGTTCATTAAGGATCCAAAATATACATTTTACCAAATTTGGAGCAAGTGGGTCGAATTTATAACCCTATGATGAGCAGGCTTTGTATAACTTCAACAATGTTTTAAAGGTACAGTGTGTAGAATTTTGTGATATCTAGTATTGAAATTGCATGTTGCAGCTGAACACCCCTCACCTCACCCTCTCCTTCTTAACATGAAAAAGAAACTGTGGTAGCCTTTAATTGTCATAAAAAGTCAAAAGGTGTTTAGTTTGTCCAGTCTGGACTAATGTAAAACACATGGCGGCCTCCGTAGAGAGGGTCCCCTCAATGTGAATATAAAGTATTTGAATATAAAGGGCCTTTTCTGGGGTAAAGAAAACTACAATTCATACAATTTATAATTTACAATTTCTGATTTTTTTTTACATATTTTCCCAGTGCATATTCCTCTATATATATGTATGTTACTTGGCTTTTGGTGGAAATAATTTAATTTCTGTATTTTGTAACATTACTTTCCAGTGAGGCCTAGGCTAATCTGGATATATATTTAGAGAATACATGGTGATCCAGTGAAGACATAAGTCCACATGCATCTGTGTCGTAACAGTCCCCTTGATTAGCTCACTCTTTTTTTGCTTTACATTTTTCCTTCTGTTCACTCCTACCACCTGCCTTCGATCTAATTACAGCCCAGTGTGCCCAGAGCACCCCAACTTCCCCGCCCAGCCTGGCCGCTTCTGACTTCCCCAACTCTGCCCACATCATGAAGGTGTGAGTCTTACAAGGTGAGTCTTCACAATTATTCCACGTCCCCATTCCACTTCTTTTTCACCCTGTTTAAACCCTCTGCTTACTTTAAACCATGTGGGTTTTGAATAGCAGTCCTCATGTTTATAGGCTGAGAATGCTAATAAACCCACAATCGTGTAATTGAACTGACAATAATTGAATTGGTCTCTTGTTAATTTGTGACAGAAGGATTTCAGAATAACTGATTAAAGTTAAAAATGATTTTAACCCCTTGCATAGTTATATTGCACATAAATCGTGACATGATGTGGGGAAAAAAAGTTTTTCTATCCATCACCCGACTCATATCCCACATCACAACTGAGCGACTGAGGAACTGCAAAGGATGTAGTTTAAAGTTTTAGCAAGTTGGAACTTGTGTTTACAATTTGGTATAGTTTGACAAGTATATATCCTGTAAAAACAACACATCGTGTGTAAAGGTCCAGTGTGTAAGATTTAGGTGAAGGGATCTATTGACAGATTTTATGTAGAATAATCCTCTGGATGTTTTCACTGGTAAGTTTCATATAAATTGTATGAATTGTTGTTTTCTTTAGCCCAGAAAAGGCACTTTATATTTAAATACTTTATATTTACATGAAGGGGGTCCTCTCTACGGGGGCCGCCATGTTTTTTTACATTAGTCTAGACTGGACAAACTAAACNTCATCTAAATTGTACAAATTGCTGTTTGTTTACCCTAGAATGGACTTTTCATATTTAAATACTCAATATTTGCATTAGGAGCGGGTCCTCTCTACAGAGGCCGTCATGTTTTGGTCCAGACTGGACAAATGTACACACTGTACCTTTAAGTAGCAATCATAATTGCACTAATTTCTTAACATGGTGCATGGTATTCAATGACAGACAAGTATCTTTGTATCTTTCTTAATTTATTTGTCTTTGTCTTTTTTTTCTGCAGCTCAAGCAATGGCTGCTTTTAAGTTTGATGGAGCATCCTTCTGAGGATTCACTGGACAACATGATACATGGAAATGGTCACAGACAATTACTTTTTTAGCACTTAACTGATACTAAATAGATATGGACATCTGGGAAAAGACATTTTTAGGAGGCAAGAGCACATTTAAAACCCAAATTTAAGCCATAAAGTCTCCCTGCCCCAAATTTGTCCAACCAAAACACCCACATACTATGTGTATACAGTGGCACAAAAGAAGGCAGCAGCTCTCTTAACCATCTTCAAATTCTATAATATTTCTACATAATTTAGCTAGGGACATGTTTTACAAAAGAGAGAATACTGATGAGCTACGATGATATTGAACTTTACAAAGGGAATACTGCATACAAAAGGCCCACACTGAAGATAAGGGGAAAGATTGGAATGAGGCCAAGTGAATATTACTGAGGTCGACTAAAAGGCAAGAGTGGGATCAGTGACTCACTGAGGATACAGGATATAATGACACTTTGACATAAGACCAAAACAAGATTTGAAAACCAGAGGACTCTTGTTGCAAACTCACTATGATGCCTGTTTAAGCTAGACCTCATGTGACATTAATTGTGCTTTGATGCATCACCCATCTTTCACGCTGAGCATGATGAAAAAATAGAATTTGTTTCCAGGCAGAGCTGAAGACAACATTAAATAAACCATTATCCACCTTAAAGTGCTGCTAACAACAATATATTGTCTTACATCAGAATCAGAAAATGACACGTAACACACAACATTGATTGACATAACTTTTATCCTCTACCTCTCTAATATACTGCTGTCTTCATTGAGATTTTATTTACACAAGTACTGGTGGGTATATACTGATATACTTCTAAATGAAAAATGATATTCTCTGCACACACCACTAGGCAATGTATTACACATATTATTGTTGCTCTGGCTTATATTCTGTTTATACTTATTCTTCTGTATAAATTTCGTCCCGCTACTCCTCCCGCAATTTTTGACACACATGCGCAAAAAATACATCAAAATGTGTGGCTCGGTCAGGAATGATGTGCTATGACCTTTCTAAGACATTTGTCAAATGGTTTGCTTGAAAAATCTGAAATAAAATGAATGGGAGTCAATGTCTCTTGCCCTTTTAGAGGGAGAGTGAGAGCAGGGCTAAAAATTCTACCTCTTGTGAGCTTAAACTGCTCTTTAAGTGAAAAATGGAGATTTCATACATGATTTTTAGATTCAAAAAACTTGTTTGCTTCACAGAAATGCCACTATAAAATCTATCAGAGCTAAACTTTTGGCTGTATCCATTTTTAACTTTAGTTTTCCGTTGCCCCTGTCTATTGGGTCTAATGTTAATTTTGAGAGAAAGTTACATTTTTCTAATTCGCTCTCACAGACACAGTGTGTTCGACAAAGTTATTTCACAGATTTGTTCCAGGGTTGCGCCCATAGACTGTATATAAAAAGGTTGTGCCAGAGCTTAGATCTGTCTCTTTCCCAGTGGGGAGAGAACAGGCGCATGCAATCAGCAACTGAGTTTCCATGGCAAGGTGATACACACAGAGCAGAAGTTGTAAGATTACAACTTTCACAACTGTTTGTCAACATTCTGATTTAGTTCGGTGGGCAGATCACTTGAACAGTGAGTCTGTGTTTGTGAGTTCAAGACTAAGTTTTATTTTGCTTTTTACTGATGCTGCTAAATAGAAACACGCAAAGTCTTCTCTCTCTCTGTCTGTTTCTCTGTGTCTGTCTCTCTGTCTGTCTCTCTCTCTGTGACTCTCTCTGTTTGTCTCTCTGTGTGTCTGTCAGGCAACCTGATACACACAGAGCAGGAGGGAGGTCAGAGGGGAGGTTAAAAGTACATTCATAGCCATGTATCAATGTGTATTTAGCTCACTTCGTTCAAACATGTTAACTGTGACTCAGTGGTCACAGGTTCAAGATCAACCAAGGGCAAAATTTTTATTTTGCTTTTTACTGCTGCTAAATAGAAACATACTGAGTCATCTCAAAATAAAGCTACCCAGATAGTAATAGGATGTAACCAGGAAACCTGATGGATTTTCAAAATAAAAGTCCTGGATGGTAATAGCATCTTACCAGGAAGCCTGAAAGAGGTTGGAATTTCAAAATTAAAGCCCCTGGATAGTTACAGGATGTTACCAGGAAACCCAAAAAGAGGCTTGCACAGTTTTTCTCCTGGATCATGTTATAATTATGTTATAATCATGCAGCTTTTGTAAATGTCTCTCTCGAGCCAGCAGAAAGCACTAGGCACACATTCAAAATTTCTCAGGAGGAATTTTCTAGTTCTGTAATTACTACATTGAGTATTTGAGTATGAATATATGATCCATTTGTCATGCTTTTAGGCCCATGTAGTCAGCATTTTGAACAACCGTATTGATGTTGATTGTCCAAGTCAAGTAAAGCTCATGAAATATAGACAGGTTTTGCAGGTAATCTAATTTTAGCTATACACTTTCCCACATTGAAGCACACCTATTCTCCAGTACGGAATTGCCATTTGTCATAGACAGTACATTTGGGGGCCAGAATTCAGTTTGAACTGGAGCCTTTTCTCGTATTGACTTCACTCTCTGGTGTGGAAACCGGTCACATTGTTCAAAACGAAATCCCTAATTATGTATGTTTGTAAATATGCTAATTTTGTCTGATACTAAGACAGACAAATTTACACTGTCTGGGCATGCTGTCTATTCAGTTCAGTTCTGCCTGAGGTTTTTAGACCAGAGTTGTCACATACCATTTGTCATGGGTCAAGCATTATGATAAATAGCACAACACCAGCAGTTGATTATATACAGTATTTGCCTGTATCATGTCTATTTCAACCTTTACAAGAATTGATTAAAAGGAACAGGTAGTTACACAATCTCATTTCTGAGATATGGGGAAAGAAATGTCATGTGTCAGAGACAACAAGCCTAAAATGAGAAAGGTTGTGTATTGTTTTCATTTTTATCAATTCTAATTCAGATTCTGCCTATCAATTCTGATTCTTATCAATTCAGATCTTCAATTTAAAAAACAAATGTGTCAAATGTTTGGATAAAATATCTTTGCTGCATCAAAAGCTCTGAATTAGGAATGGGCACTGCTTCTTAGAGGTTTATTACCACCTCAACATTCGCATGTAGTTGTACAATAAGTTGAATTGCATTTTGCTTAGAAATTATCATTTCACAAATGTTTTTTGAGCACATTATCCAGTGTTCTGGGAGCCATCAACAGAGTTGTGTATAAGTACTTTGCATGTTCCTGACCATGCACTTATAACTAACTGTTCAACATCATTAATAATGTGATGCCACTTCATGTCATGATATGTCAGCAAAAATTTTGAATTTTATTTTATACAATTCAACATTAACTGTTATAATCATTCTTAATGCTGTTACCTTTTATATTGAGGATCACTTCCAAGATAAGTATGAAGCTGGAAAAGAGCTTTAAAACAGGAGGACACCCTTTTTATGTGGTCTTCATTAAAGGAGATATGACCAGTCAAAGTCAGATATCCCCCAAAAAGTTTAAAATTTGTCTCCATTAATTGCAATCTGAGAAACATATAATTTGGGTTACATGGGGTTCTTGTGTGACCAGAGTTAGCATTTCACTGATAACTGTGTCCGTTCAGCCCAAAATGTTCATGATTTGAAACAGCCTTCAGCAATAACATTACATAAAATTTTAGCTGTTTGATAATGTAATATGTATAGGAAACCTACTGATATCAATTATAAAAGTCATGTTCAAGAAAATACGGAGTCCATCAGAACAACAATGGTGGTAAAAATTGAAAACTAAAGTACATTCAATGCATAACACCTAATTGCTGTATCAGGTCTCACTGTCCTGGAGGTACTTGCAAGGACTTGCACTGGTTGAGCAGGCTGACACTCATATTCTGAAACCGCAAACACTGTACATTTCTCCAAATCAATACTGTGCGCCTTATATGTGTAAAAGTTTGAGGTGCAACCGGACTTACAGCAAATAAACATCCTGCATGTACTGCAATTGCCTCATCATCACTTTCTCCATCTAAAGTATAGCCTGATTTTTGACCATTTACTGTGGTCCATCTTTCACAGTGTTGCTCAGATGTTAATCATGCATGCTAAACTGTAACTGTTATCAAAACACAGGCAATGTTACATTGATGCGCGACATAGACAATCAGGCCTATATATCATTTGGAACCTAGCATCAGTTCCCAACCCTAAAAAGCAGAGATAAAACTTTCTCACAGGTCAGGGTAAGGGTGATTAACATTTATTCAAGTCAATATACTTTCAGCATATGCTGTTAAAATACGTTCATGATTCTCCAACAATTTAACAAATATGGTAATTTCACAATGAACATTTTAGCACAGTTTAGAGACAAGAACCTTACATCTCTGAACTGTTTAGGCAGAGAACGTTGGCACTGAACATAAAGCTCTCATCCAGAACAGTTGCATATGAATGGAGTGCATTGAAGACAAAGTTGTATTCTGAAATGATACCATTGCCTCTCCTCCCAACACTATTTGTATCTTTTGCATCAGACTTCATCATAGTGCTTAAGAGATACCCCATCATAGTGCTTAAGAGATACCCCAGTAATTATCTAAACATATATAGGTAACGTATGTTAGATATATCTTTAAAAACAGATTACTGTATGTTTAAGGTAATAATCAAAGTGGCCTTAGAAGACTAAGAGCAAAATAATAATGATTGTCTGTGGAGGAGTTAGCTAATGATGCTGTAATTTGAGAGGAATTACCCTATATACTGGGAAATACTGTGGTATTATTATATTCTCATAACATTTCATCCTGACATGCAGTGCCAAAAGTCTGTAAAGTGTGTTTTATGTGTTGTGATGAATGGACATCTTAATGACAAGACTCATGGTTTGAATCTGGATGAAACACAATGATTGATGGCTTAAAGGTTTGAAATAAAGGAACTATTTGATTATTGATTTGTTTCTGAGCTTAATTTTAAATACATCAAAAGTGAAATAATTTTAAAAATGTCAAAACTTAGCTTATCCTAACTCAGAGTAACATTGTTTTTAGTAGTATTTGTATTTCATATCAGAAAGTTTCTTTGTATCAAAACACACATTTTCTTATAAATGCATAGTAGCATTTAGTCACATTCAGATTTTTCTGATCTCTGTATTTTGAGCCAATAAGTATGTGTCCACATCAATTAATCAAATTTTATTTGTACAGCCCATATTCACAAATCACAGTTTGTCTTAACAAGGTGTGACATCTCCTGCCCTTAACCCTCAACAAGTAAGGAAAAACTACAAAAATAACTTTTATTTTAAAACGTAGAAACCTCAGATGGAGCCACATGTGAGGGATCTGTCTCCCATGCAGGATGGACAGAAGTGCAATAGATGCCACGTGTAATAGAGAACATCAGCAAATTAAATATTTATAACACCGATTTGAAGAAACAGTTTGTAGTATAATGGAAAGTAAATTAATTGAGGAGTTATTGCCAGTGTCAATGGTAGAGTATGTGAGTAGGCATATTGTATATCAAGTTTTGTTAAAAATAATAGTCCACGATCAGTTTACCTCCATGATTAGGATCCACCATCATGATCCACGATCAGCTGCCATCTTGATCATGATCCACCACCACTATCCACAATCAACTGCCAATACGATCATGATCTCTGATTCACCATCATGACCCAGATGAGCTCTTTAAGGTATGTTGATGTAATATTATTAAGGGCCTTGTAGGTGAGGAGGATAATTTTAAATTCTGTACTAAATTCAACAGGAAGACAGTGTAGTGAGGTTAATACAAGAGAAATGTCATCTCTTTCTTTGGTTCTTGACAGGACACGTGCTGCAGCATTTTGGACAAGCTGCAGTGCCTTAACAATCTACTGCTAGAATATTGCTACAATAATCAAGTCTGGATATAACCATGTGTTGGGAGTTGTAACTTTAATCTGCTTGGGAACCTTACTCACAGCATAGTTTGTTACACAAAACTATATAGGAAAGCTTCATTGGATTGATTTTTTGAAAAAGGGGGTTATTAATTGATTTTAACGTGATTGGACTAAACGTCCAAAACACTCTCTGAGATCTGTCTTCAAATGTTGCAAATCCTACAATATTAGGCCAGTCTATAAAATGCCACTATAAATTCAAGATGTGAAGAAGTAATATGAAATATTTTTGTTTTGTTTTAGCCATTCCTCTTCATTGCAACTTCCTCCTGAATTAAACACTAACACTAACACACTTTTGTTATGCATGTTGTGATTATTATACATTAAACATATTAAATGCTGTGCATTTGGGC